GGCCATTATGATTTCCCCCTGTAATAGAATGTAATAGATTTCCCCTGTCCTTATCACCAAAAAAAAGGAAGTACCATTGTATACCTTTATGTACAGATATCACACCTGTTTAGTTTTACCTGTATATGTTAACACACAAGGACATTTCAATAGATAGACCACATATTTGGTTATAAACTTTATATACTCTATAGCACCTCTCAAGTTACAAGATGCTTGACAAAATACAATACCATACAATATAATATGTGCAAAGATAGCATAAAATAAAATAGAGATTTCAACAATCAACACAGAAAATACAACAACATATGAAAGAGCAACAAAAACAGTTGACATGATAAAATATCATACAAATGCCAGCCTGTATAGGTGTGTTTTTAAAAGCGGATGGGGAGCCAGTGTAGTTCAGTCAGGACTGAAGAGATGTGTTCCCTACATTAAGTGTGTGTGAGTTGTCTTGCTGCTGCATTCTGAACTGACAGTAGTCCTTCAGGTAGTAAATAGTAATTTGCAGTAGTCTAGGTGGGAGGAAATAAGGGCATGGAGAAGTTGTTCAGCTATGTTTTGCAGAGCATCTGTTTGATTTTGGCGATATTTCTAAATTTGTAAATACTGGGATTATACTCTGTGCTGGCAAAGCAAGGTTCAAGGTACTGGACAAAAACAACTCCCAAGTTTCTAGCTGAGGGTTTCCTGTTTGTTGTTAGTGGTCTGAGGTGGAGGGTTAGAAATATGATCAGAACCATTAACAATAACCAGAACTTCAATCTTATCTGATTAAGTTAAGTTTCTACAAGAGATCCTGTTCTTAATGTTGAATTTTTTTCAGTTACCGGATGTACAAATCACCTCCTCTAATCATAAATCTACACTGGGCACAGATGTAGACCAAACAAGGGAAATTCCTGTAGGTATAGTCCTGTGGAGCGCACTGGAATGACACTTTTTTCTCCAAGTGAGGAAATAGAATATTCACAGTTCACATAATCCGGTCGAAATTGATGTACATTTTCACGCATTTACAGCATGCAGGGCCTGCTTTCACAAACCCTGTTCAGCCAGGTCACATTTGTCAAAAGAAAACTTTATTTCCAAATGCAGAATGTTATATTTGGCGGTATGGCTCTGTTCTGGGTCTTCCCTGCCCTTCTATGTGCATACAGTGGTATGCAAAAGTTTGGGCACCCCTTAGGAAAATCACTGCATCAGTTTGTCACTTGCTGAGCTTTTGAAGCAGCAACTTCATTTTAACATATGTTATACCTTATGGAAACAGAAACATCTCAGTAGTGAAATCATTTTTATTGGTCCAACAGAAACATTTTTATGTGCATTTAAACAAAAATAGGCATGTGCATTAATTTGGGCACCCCAAATAAATAATTCCATTAATATTTAGTAGAGCCTCCTTTTGCTGCAATAACAGCCTGTAGACGCCTCCTATAGCCACAGACAAGTCCCTGAAGTCTGGCAGGTGGTATTTTGACCCATTCCTCCATACAAAACGCCTCCAGTTCAGTCAGGTTTCTTGGCTTCCGTGCGTAGACAGCCTGCTTCAAATCAATCCATACATTTTCAATGATGTTAAGGTCTTGGGACTGGGATGGCCATTCCAGAACATTGTACTTGTGCTTCTTCATGAATTCCTTGGTGGATTTTGAACAGTGCTTAGGATCACTGTCATGCTGAAAAAATCCAACCCCGGCGTAGCTTCAACTTGACCGACTCTTGAACATTCTTGTCAAGAATCTGCTGATACCGAGAGGAATTCATGTGGCCCTCAACTTTGACCATGTTTCCAGTACCTGTGCTAGCCACGCAGCCCCATAACATGATGGACCCCTCACAGTAGGCAATAAGTTCTTCTCATGGAATTCAGTGTGTTTTTTTGGCCATGCACACCTCCGCTTGTTCTGACCAAATAACTCTATCTTAGTCTCATCTGATCACAGTATTCTGACCACAGAAATGCTTCTGGCCTGTCCAGATGTGCTTCTGCATACCTCATACGACTCTTCTTGTGATGAACACTCAGGAAAGGCTTTTTGCGCATCACCCTTCCAATGAGCTTTTCCTGATGCAAAGTACGCTGGATTGTGGAGCGATGAACAACTACAGCATCAGCAGCCAGATGTTCTTGTAGTTCTCTGGAGGTGGTCTGTGGCTTGTCTGTGACCATTCTAACCACCCTTCGCCTGTGCCTTTCCTGTATGTTTTTCGGCCTACCACATTTTTCCTTCACAAGGACTGTTCTTGTGGCCTTCCATTTCGGCACTACATTTCTGACTGTGGGGACAGACAGTCCAAACCTTCCAGATAATTTCTTGTACCCTTCTCCTAATTCATAATAATGAATTATCTTAGTTTTTAGGTCAGTGGAGAGTTGTTTAGAGGCCCCCATGTTGCCATACTCTAAGAAAGAACCTAGGACAAGTACAGCCAGCAATTACCTATGTTAAACAGCCTTTTTCATGATTGGTTCCACCTGTCTTTGTAATTGAAGGTCTCACAAGCTAATCAAAGCAATTTTGTGCTGCAACCTCTCAGCTATAAATCCCTACAGGTCTTGAAATTAATGCGATTAAAAGGGTGCCCAAACTTTTGTACATCCCATTTTTTACATTTTATTTTATTATAATAAAACTATGTAATGCTACATAGAATAGAATTTCGGTCTGGAAAACACTCAAATGTCTACATCTCTGTAGGAAAACAAATCTTGTTGCTGTGATCTTCTCTTATAAAGGTCGAGCAAATTATCATGAATTCTCAGAGGGGTGCCCAAACTTTTACATACCACTGTACATGGACAGCTTAGGGCAAGGAGAGCAGCAGCAAAGACCCACCATGGTACAGAACAGAGCAAACATCAGTGACAACAGATATTCAATCGGATACAGCATAAAAGGAGGAGCTGAGTGGAGGTGGGTTGGAAAGCGGCTTGCAGAGGAAGCAGCAAGGGTAGACTAAAGGCTAAAGCAGCTAGAAGGCGCCCTGAATAACTCTTTTTAAAGTGTTGATTATTTAATGACAACAACTTGTGCATCAACTAACATGCAAGAAAACATTCCGCCTTAAAAGGTTCTGGTAGCTGCAGGCTCTTCTGACATCCCCTTCACAAAGAAACATTACAAAGCCAGCCTGTTAAACTTTTTTTTCATAGCCTAGCCTATTGGATCGTGACTAATGTATGTAAACCTACCACCATAGGAACAGTAGTTATATAGCCTTCACAACAAGTCCGTGCACAGATATGCATGCATTGTGGGTGCCCTCCGATGCTTAAAAAATGCCACTACACATCTGGAAATTCCCACATGGTAGGTTAGATAGAAAATGTTGGGGTGGTTCACAACAATCACCCCTTACCAAGATGTCCCTTTGGTTCTGGGTGTGCTTATTGGCAAAGATCTTTTAAATAATGGCCTACTATAGGGTCACTGAAAAATATGCCAGTGGTAACATACCTCTTAATCTCATTGGGATTCTGTCTGTCTGTTTTTCACTTCATCCAAACAGTTCCTAATGATCATGATGATCATAGGCTGTATCTCTAAAATGACACATCCATAGCTTGTTCTTCAACTATATTACTCTGGGACATTTTTGTTTTAGAGGAGGGACTCCTGCTATCACTGCACTCTGTGGAATCAAACCTCTAATTCTGACAATTATTTCTGACTTTTTCCACAGTTGTGTCTGGCCCGAGGTTTTATCTGCGAGTTCTGCCGAGAAAGAGACATCATCTTTCCTTTTCAGAGTGACATATGTAAGCGCTGTCCAGGTAAGAGCTGACAGATGTTGACTACTAAATAAAATAGATGATACAGTATGTGCAAGATATCAGATGTCCTAAACTGTATACATATACTGTAAAATTAAGGCAAATGGGCAGGAATTGCATGCTTGTTTGTAGATAAAAGCTTAATTCAGACAGGTTTAATATTACAGTAGGAAGTGGGTAATAAAACTACAAGAACCAGATATTTTTCTCAGATGTTTGTGGGGACCAAAAACAGTAATATTAGACTTGAAGCTGCAGTAGGTAACTTTGATATATCCTTTCACTACATCCTGACATGTAGTAGTATATGAGACAGATAATCTGTGAAAAAATGTCATTGTAGTGCTCCTAGTGGCCTTTGCAAGAATCTACCGGGCCTGAACAAAAACAACCAATCAGAGCCAAGAAAGATGGTTGATTGTTGAGTCTCATTCCCAAATCGTCAAATACTGACCCTGGGAATAAGACTCAACAATCAACTATCTTCAAGCCACCACCCAAAGCATCTTTATATCTTTCTCAGCTTTAATTGATTGTTTTCGTTTAGCCCTGGTAGATTCTTACAAATACCATTAGGAGCACTAGGAGGAGCCAGAGGAAGCAAATTTTTTCACAGATTATCTGTCTCATGGACTATATACTGTCAGCATATAGTGAAAGTTTCAGTGTGTATAACAAAAATTATATTTACCTACTGCAGCTTTAAATTCATGAGCGTAAATGCTAATGTCGCTCTGTGTCTGCTGGATATGGTTCACCCATATCAATTTAAACTGATATGTCAGTGTTCTGTTTGCAGCTTGCTTCCACTGCCTGTAAGTATCTGTGTCCAAAAATCAGTTATTGACAGATTAAAGGTGCAGTGTGTAACACTGAGGAGGATCTATTGTCAGAAATGGAATATAATATTGATAGCTATGTTTTCATTAATGTATAATCATCTGAAAATAAGAATCGTGTTTTTGTTACCTTAGATTGAGCAGTTTTTATCTACAAAGGGAGGGGGTCCTCTACTACAGTCTGCCATGTTGAACTGCCATGTTTCTACAGTACACCAGAACAGACAAACCAAACACTGGCTCTAGATAGGGCGGCCACTGTCATTGGTCCCACATGTTTAGAAGGCTTTGCTGTTATATTCACAGCGTAATACAGGGACACAACCATTACAGTAATAAATAGTGCTGTATTAATAGTGCTTCTCTTTTAACAGCATGCAGGGCCTGCTTTCACAAACACTGTTTTTTGGAAAAGAAGTGTCCGAAATGTGCACGGATCCAATCACGCAAAAAACGTAAAGATCCATGAAGTGCGACATCTGACCAACTGCAACTCACCTCCTGATTCACATCACCTTCACCACAGTTTTACATATGACACTGTTGTACATGAAATGTATTTTAATTTCTATACTCATCTTGTCTTAGTGCTCACCTAAATAATCATTGCTAACACCAGGGAATACAAACCCACAATGTTAAACATTTAAATGTTGTTAAACATTTCCTGTGGAAATAAAACTGGTGGGAGAGTGTTTCTATGCAAACCATTTCATTTTGTTTGCAGTCTTTTTCTTGTTTGTTTGTTTTTTTGTTTTTGCATGAATGTAGGAATATGTGTTGTATGTATGGTGTTCCACAGTGTGCATAACACTGATGGTTAGACTGGCAGTGGTAGAAATAGCCTGCCAAATACTGTGTATAAATGAAGTTTTATAACTAGGTTCAGGAACAACCACGCCTCGCACTTACTTAAGCACACCTTATCCATCCACTCCCCACTCGATTCAGTTTCCACATGATCGGCAGAAACAAAAAAATGAAAACCTTGAACCAGAGAGAACAAGCTCATCCTCAACCCTTCAGACAGTGACATGTTTTGAAGTTGAATAGGAAGCTCCCAAAATCTCAGAGTCCTCTTCTTCGCCTACCATTCCTTCCCGTCAGCCACCTCGGCTCCGCTCAACAATCCACGTGCCCCGACGCTTCTAGCCTTCATCCACCAACAACTCCAGGGGAGTCTTCGGTCTTCGGCATCCTTCCAGCCGCCTCGGGCAAAGCCACCACGACCCGACTTCACCTCACCATCTCTCCGGCCGTCCCTCGGCTGTGAAAATACACAAGCGGATTTTTAATGTCCAATTAAAATACCAGTTCACCTTTCAGTCAATTCAATTCAATTCAATTTTATTCAGTCCAGGTAAGCAAGGAAGCCCCTGCAACAGTTAATAGTTTTATTTCAGTCATCATTGTAAGATTAGTTAGGTATACACGTCGACCTCGCCCATTTAGAAAACCTCGCCGAAGAAAATGACTCCCCAGAAGGACAATCTGGTCTCCGTTTTCTTCTGCTCAACGTCCTTGCACCACTCAGCTTCATCACATTCGCCCGTTCCATCATTAAGATTATCGTACCCACACAAAACCGGTTTTGGGGGGCTCTCTACAATATATACGAAGAGACAGCTCCCCCACTCAGTCTCACAACCCACTCTTACAATCTTGCCGAACCCCTCCGTCTATTCATCAGTCTGCCAACAAACCCACCTTTCTTCCATCTGTTCATCCTTCGCCCTTCCTTCCAATACTCTCAACCATCAACCTTTATCCCTCATCCCTTCATCCCTCAACCCTTCATCCCTTCAACTCTCGACCCTTACCCCGCATCCTTAGAGCGTTACCCCATCCCTCGACCCTGATCCCTTCATCCCTCAACCCTCGACCCCTACCCTCCATCCCTCGACCCTCATCCCTTCATCCCTCAACCCTTTCCCTCCATCCATTCATCAATCTGCCAACAAACCCACCTTTCTTCCATCCGTTCTTCCCTCACACTTCCTTCCGATACCTCTTCATTCCTCAACCTTCATCCCACAACCTTCAACCCTTCATCCCTGAACTCTCTTCCCTTCTTCCTTTCATCCCTCATCCCTTCATCCCTCAAACCTTCAGCCCTCAACCCTCGACCCTTACCCCCATCCCTTAACCCTCGACCCCTACCCTCCATCCCTCGACCCTCATCCCTTCATCCCTCAACCCTTTCCCTCCATCCATTCATCAATCTGCCAACAAACCCACCTTTCTTCCATCTGTTCTTCCCTCACACTTCCTTCCGATACCTCTTCATTCCTCAACCTTCATCCCACAACCTTCAACCCTTCATCCCTGAACTCTCTTCCCTTCTTCCTTTCATCCCTCATCCCTTCATCCCTCAACCCTTCAGCCCTCAACCCTCGACCCTTACCCCCATCCCTTAACTCTCGACCCCTACCCTCCATCCCTCGACCCTCATCCCTTCATCCCTCAACCCTTTCCCGATCCATTCATCCCTCCTACAGTACACCACATCAGTTTACATTTATTCATTACATGCAAAAAAATTGTTCTAAATTCCATACGTTCATTGCCGTGGTCTTTGTTAGTGAATAGTCAGTACTAATGGAAAACATGTAACAGAGAAGGACTTGCAATATGATTAATGATTATTGTGGAAATGATCCTTTTTGCATCACAATTTTAGAGAAGATTTGTAAGCCAGGGTATCTCTGCAGCTCCAAAGTACTTCATTATAATGCTGTTGGTCACAAATTTTACCTTCATCATGATTGATGAGTGATTCTGATAATATTTTGATGAATTGTGCATCCCTATAATGGAGTTACGTAATTAGGATACAAAAGGAAAGGTAACTATATTCTGTTAACGTTACAGAAAAAAGACAATAAGATTACAGTTACATTTAGTAATAACGAAGGAAATACTGTCATGCACTTGTTCAGTGCCCACACATTACAACACATGACCTTTTGATTGCTTCTGATAATGGACTTGTCTCTGTACTTGCATTATTAGATCTTAGTGCTGCATTTGACACCATTGACCATAATATTCTTTTACAGAGACTTGAGCATCAAATTGGCATTAAAGGAACCGCTCTTAGCTGTTTTAAGTCATACTTATCAGATCGTTTGCAGTTTGTACATGTTAACGATGAATCTTCCATAAATACCACAGTTAGTCATGGAGTTCCACAAGGTTCTGTACATGGACCAATACTGTTTACATTATATACGCTCCCTTTAGGCAACATTATTAGGAATCACCCCATTAACTTTCATTGCTATGCAGATGATACGCAGTTATAGCTATCGATCAAGCCCGATGAAATTAATTAATTAATCCATGCATTTGTTACTTCTACGCTGGATTACTGCAACTCTTTATTATCAGGCTGCCCCAATAAGTCCATTAAGACGCTCCAATTAATTCAAAACGCTGCAGCACGAGTACTGACAGGAACTAGGAAAAGAGATCACATCTCTCCTGTACTAGCTTCTCTGCACTGGCTCCCTGTAAAATTTAGAATAGAATTTAAAATCCTCCTCCTCACCTACAAAGATCTTCATGATCAGGCCCCTTCATATCTTAAAGAGCTCATAGTACCCTATTACCCCACTAGAACACTGCGTTCTCTGAAGTAGGCTTAAGACGTTCCTCTTTGATAAAGCTTATAGTTAGGGCTGGATCAGGTGAGTCCTGAACCATCCCTTAGTTATGCTGCTATAGGCCTAGACTATCGGGGGGACTTCCCATGATGCACTGAGCTCCTCTCTTCCTCTGTCTCTCTTTCTGCACACATTCATGTCCTATTAATGCATGTTACAACCTTCACTTCTTCCCCGGAGTTCTTATGTGTTTTCTCATCTCACAGGTTCTCATGGATCCTGACAGAGCCTCCTGCCATGGTCCTGCTTGACTCCCATTGCTAATATCACTGATTTATTATTACTACAGTTACTATTATTTTACTATAATCGCTGCTCATTGTCCCCCATCATTGTTGTCGTCATCGTCGTCGTTGTCATGGGGATGCCCCGTGACCTGTAACTTAAATGTAACACAACATAGAGTGCTTGTCCACCTCAGCCACGTTTTACATACCATCTAGCCGGCAGGTGTCTGGGGTTTGGTAATTAGTTCAGATGTTGGGTTGAAACATGATTGCACTTGGCCATCTTCTGATTTGGACCCAGGAACTGGCAAACCAGTCCCCGCCCAGGTGGACTCCTTTTATGGTCAGGTTCCTGGGGGAATGTGTGTGGGAAGTGTAGTATAGATGGAGGGGGAGATTTAGGAGGCGTTTGGGAGATTTGCTATTTTGAACAGTTGGGATCTATTTTACTCTTTTGATATGTGTAGTGAATTCTTTCTACTGTTGACCTATAAAACTTAACTATTGGGTATTAGATAAATTAATGCTAAAGGTTAATTGTTTTCTTAATTGCTTCCTGTGGTAATAGGATATAAGCAGCAGTTGAGGGTTCTCCAGGGGGGGCTACTTTTGAGGATGTTGGTGAGCAGGCCACACGGTTTGGGAGCAGCCAGAGGCCCCAGTTTAAAAGGTGTATAGCCCTGAGCAGAGTTGAGGTTATTTTTCATACCTCTAGTTTCCTTTTTCCTAAGTTGTTTTTTTAGTTAGCTTGTTGTTTTCTTCAGTTTGGGCCAAGCTGATCCTCACTGTAAATAAGATGCACTGATCCACTGCTTGGAAAAAAGGGAAATAAAGAAATTTGGACTGACTGAACAGTTTCAAGATCCCTTCCTTCCTGCCTTCGCCTCCGAGCAATTTTACAGTCGCCATCATCTTCTTCATGTTCATCATCGGTCACTACTATTACTACTATACTGTTGTTGCTGTGCACCTTTGTCTCTGTCTCTGTCCTTCTGTCGTTCCCTCTGTTCCCTCTCTGTCTCTCTTTCTCTGTCTCTCTCTCTCTGTCTGTCTCTGTCTCTCTCTCTCTCTCTTTCCCCAACTGGTCAAGGCAGACGGCCACCCACCTAGAGCCGAAGGGTCTGTCGCGGTTTCTGCCTCTTAAAAGGAAGTTTTTCCTTGCCACCGTCGCCAAGTGCTTGCTCATGGTGGGAACTGTTGGGTCTCTGTAAATAATGCTATGACGTGTTCGGTCTAGACCTGCTCTATTTAAAAAGTATCCTGAGATAACTTCTGTTATGAATTGACGCCATACAAATAAAACTGAATTGAATTGAATTGGGATTGCCCTGTTCATTCTTAAATTATGGCTAAAAACCTATTTTTTTCAGTCAAAGTTTCTGACCAACTGTGAAATATGGTCACAATCCTCTCTTCTGTGTCTGAGTTAGGTTGTTGAATAACGAAAAAGTGTTTTTTGAGGACATTATGATGTCACAGTGAAGTTGACCTTTTGGGTAAAATATGTCATCATTTCATTGCTGTATCATCATTGTGTGGGTAAATGCTAGCCTCCTCCTGTTATTTTGCAATGCCACTACTGTAACTCACTGTAACAATTCATTCCGGCAGTCTACAGTATAATGTGAGTTTATTATGTAATATTATTATTACGTAATATTAGAAAAATTAGACACATCCTATCACAGACAGATGCAGAAAAACTAATCCATGCATTTGTTACTTCAAGGCTGGATTACTGCAACTCTTTATTATCAGGTTGCCCCAATAAGTCCATTAAAACGCTCCAATTAATTCAGAACGCTGCAGCACGAGTAC